ATCTGAACCCCACCTGCTTAGCGGCAGGCACACCTGCCCACATCACCTGATGAAGGGATGTGGGAAATCAAAACATGATAGTGATTCTAACCCCCACCTGCCCTGCGATGGGAGTCACTTTGCTCCTGGTAAGCACTGATCTGTCATGTCTGCACAGAAAGGACGGTCCCTGTGAATGCATGTGGAAGCAATGGAACCTCTTTTCTCTCTTCCATTAAAAACATATTCAAAAGCTTCTAAAGATTGCTCCAGACAAAAAGACCAGTTAAAGGCTTGAGAACTTACTTTTATCACACAAAGTCTTTTAGAATGCAACTTTCCCTGATAGAGTGCTTGAGTCTTGACCAAATTTGTCAACATGCAAAATAATTCCACTCCCTTCTGAAACCTCAAGCCCCAAACTTGTCAAAATTATCACTCTAGGCTACTGCTGGAGACAGAGGTGTTTGTGAGTTGCTCAGTCTTTTGAAACTGTGGGATCAAACTTCACAGCTGCTCAGGCCTAAAGAGTTGGGGAACAAAACTCTGAATGCCTTGAGAAGCGTGTGGTACAACAGTGACACTTGAGCCTACTGGCCGGGTTCCAGTTCTCCTTCTGCTGCATCTTAGCTGTGTGACCTTGGACATGGTTCTTAATCTCTCTGTGCCTCAATTTATTTCTCTGTAGAGATAACAATGGTATCAACCTCGTAGGTTGTGGTAAGGATGAAAACAATACATGTAAAGTGCTTAGAATGGTGTCTGGCATAGAGTAAGTGCTCTGTAAATGTTGCGCCTGTTACATCATGACTCCGAAAGCAGGTTTTGGTTAAAAGAGGTCCCGTCCACTACTATAACTCAAAGTCCAGCTTACAAAAAGACTTTGATTCTAGCAACTATATGGAAGTCGGTATTTGGACCAGGAAATATTGGCTGCCACCTCCCTGCAAGGGCGTCTTCCTCAGGGTCCAGGGAGTGTGTCAGCAGCTCTCCATCTTCCGTCCCAACTGCCCCACCCTTCAGTCACATGGGAATGCTGACCTTGACTCCTCCAGCCGTGCAACTGCTCCTGGGGATGGAGACAACTTTTTATGCTGACTGAGGCAAGGCTTTCCTAATGAATAGCTGGGCTTCAGGATCTTGCCGACAGGGAGGTTTTGGTCCCCAAAGGGCAGGGAGACTTTTGTGGCCCCTGTGTCAATGCCCTGGATATGGTCTGAAGATGCCACAGGACTTAGTTAGGAGAGAGACCAGCAGGAGCCTGGACAGAGGCAGGAGCTGCAGGGCATCTCTAGTCCTGTTCTCTGGGCCAGGACAGGACCTGATGCATGTTTGGAGGAGGAGGTCCAGGATCTGGCTAAGGTGCCTGGGATGGCACTGGGCAACAGGGAAGGGGAGGTCCCTGAGAGTGCTGTGGTGACACCGCAAGGGTCCTGTGAATCTTCCCGATGGGGCACTGGTGGGAACCACTGCCACTCCTCTGAGGGCTGCCCCAGATTATTCAGGGAAATGTAGAGAACTGACCCAGAGAGCACAGAATTGAGCTGATTAGAGTAGTGACTGAAGAAGGCAGCCGCAAAAATGCAAGACAGCTGCGAATGCCACCTCGCTTTGAAGAACAAAGGCAAAGAAAATTGGCTCACCAATGAGAATTAAGTGATAACAATGTACTGAACAGAAACCAAAATCTGTTCTTAGCCAGCTCACTCAGAAAAATGCGGTATCCTGAAGAGTACAACTGAATGATGTGAGACCTTTGAATAGTAAAAATTTTTACCTTAAAATGCTTTTGTAAAGTGATTTTAGTGCTCGTAGAGATGAAGCAAACACGAAGCCCAGGAGGCGTCTTGTCTTCACGTCGCCTCTGCTTCCCGGGCTCCGTGGGGTCCCCTGGAAGCCCTTCCCTGGTCCCTCACTGGCAGCCGGCAGCCAGCATGGGGTGGCCTCCTCCCAGGTCCTCTTGGCTGTCACAGTGAAGTGCTGTATTCTTTACACTCCCAAACTTTGAGCCCAATTTCAGATTTCAGGTTCAATCAGGCAACGTTCGATGTATCTGGCTCTGCCTAGGTCCCAACCTCAGGAACATCTCCCCACCACCCCTCCCCAACCCCTACCAACCACCCAGGTACATCTCTTTTTGTCAGAAAGAACTCATTTCTGGTTTTTGCCTTTTACTGTACTTTGGTAGGAGACTGGCAGCCAGAGACAAAACTACCTTGGGTCAGGAACAATGCAGCCCTCATAAGGAAAGGGTCTCAATCACCTAGGTTGTAGGAGAAGACAGATGCTAAACTCAAATGCAGACACTGAGGGTTTAACAGAGACTGTTCATAGAGGCACTGAGAGGGCTTAGTCACAAAGGAAGACATAGTAGCCAGAGCAATAGGCTGGTCTTGGCCTGCAGGGGCAGGGGACACAGCTGCAAGAGGGCTGCCCGGCAGGAGCTGTGCCCACAGAAGAAGGCAGCAAATGCCCAGCAGCCTGGCCCAGAGCAGGGAGGCACTCGAGCAGGGGGGTCAGCATCTGGACCTGGCTCTCCCCTTCTCTCATCTCACCTTGGTGCCTTCATTGACAGAATCCCAAAAAATCCAGAAGCCCAGGGAGCATGTTACTGCAGTCCCTGAAGATCAGCCTCTCTTAGCAGAGAGGGCAGAGCAGGCAGAGTGGTTCTGGAGGGGCAGATAGAAAATATCCAGCCCAGGGTCATTTCCCAGAGGCCACAGCTCCTTGGTCTCTAGCCAAGCGCAGCCATTATAAGACGCAACTTCCCTGGCCAATTTCAAAGCTCTGCCTGCTGCTGGGAATGCATGTTTAAACAAAGCCTTTATTCTCTGTTCCAACAGCGGGGCTGGAATTTAAAAAGCTTCATTTTCAAGACTGGTTGCTTTTGATCTGTCTAACCTGGAACTTACATTTTGGAGTCAAATAGAATTATTTAAAGAAAGCATTTCAGCGATAAGCACAAAACATTTTAATTTTTTTGGGCTGCTCCCCCACCCAACCCCCGTAGCAGCATACAACATTCCACTCAAAAGCAAAGGAGAATTTTGTGGCTGACTTAAAATTTCAGCTTCCGTTTCCCTGGGTCTTCATTTCCTCAGCCTGTGCCTTTATCTAGGTTTGCCTGTGTACTGGCCACGGGAGGGGGCTAACTTCACCTCAGGCTGGCCTGGAGCAAACAAATATTCTATGAGCAGAGCTTCCCTCCTCTCGCTCCAGCTTCCCGCTTTGGCAGAGCCATGTGCTTCCATCCTGTCTTCTTTATTAACTATAATTTATTTTCACTTTGCTTTACATATCCCCATTTTCCTTCCTTCTCTGATTTAAGGCCTTCTCTGATATCATCCTCTACTGTCCTCAGATGAACTTATCCCCAGCTCGCCCGCATCTCTCTCTTTTTATCACATTTTGGTGCCTTATCTATTACTCAAGTTGGAATGCTGATCACTACTTGCATTTCTTGAAAATAACATCTGCTCTGTGCTGTCCTAGACAGACTATGTCCTGCTGGGTCACAGCAAAACCCAGCTCCCCATGCTATGGAGCACAGGAGGTGTTGCAGTGTTTGTTATTCATTCCTTCATTGGCCTTTCAGTTACTGAAAGTCAATCTGAAATGGAAGAGCGCCCTTTTTTTCACAGCTGTGAAGGCAAATGGAGGAAGGAAGGCCATATATCCCCAGACCTTAAAGAGGCACATCTGCTGGAAAACAAAGCTCAGACATGGCCTGGTCCAACTGTGTTCTACACAACGAAGTGACAAAAATACAACTAAGTAACAAAATGATGTGGAAATGCTCTCTAGAAAAAGTGAGCTAAATTTCTATTAAAACAATTCCGACAAATCAAATGAACGTCTCAACGGAGGGGTGCTAACAGAATGCATCGTATGGTAGGCAGGGTGGTTGGCCTTGCATGGTCTGAGGTGGGAAAAGGTGAAAACACATTAATGTATTACAAAATGACTTCATCTTTTTGTTAGTGGTTAGTTCTAAACCTTTGCTCAAGCTTACTGAGCAAAATCACTAATTTTTAGGGCCACAAGAAATGTGGATAGTACTCTTTAACCACAGGATCTTCTAATCCAAAAAGAGTATCACTGTGAAAGGAAGAGTATTTTGAATATAGAGAATATTTCATTTTCAGGCCCAGGGAATAGGCAGAATCAAAGCCACCATCTTGGTTAGCTTTTCTGCAAGGAGGCAAGCAGCTACTGTGCACTAGGTCCCTGCTTTTCCCTGCCAGAAGTGACAGAACTACAGTGCTCATATCTGCCTTCGAGGCTACTGCCAGGGAAGGGATGTCTCCACTTAGCTAATGAGGCCAGATTTCTCATCAGGTGAACAGAACACACCCTTTACAGGCTGGCTCACTAAACCCTGAAAGAAAGCTTAAAGCTCGGGATATGGTTTACAGGCTTCTGATGTGACTGGAAGTAGTCATCAAGAAGGGAGAAAGATCTTGAAGTAGCTCTGTTCATGCCAGTTTAAAATAAAATACAGACAATTTCCACTAGATCTGCCTTGGCCAGCAGGTTCCCCCAAGGGGAAGCACACTGAAGGTACTAAGAAAGCACTGGCAGAACCACGTGGGGCAACACAGGCTAGTTTTGTCTTTGACTCATTCAGAATCACGTGTACTACTTTTTAGTCACCAAGCGGATATAAATGCAACTAGTATATGCTCAGCTGGCCAGATGTGGGCCATTCTGGAGACCTAACTGACCATTCCATGGGGGTTTGGAATGGAACTAGATTATGACTTTATGAAGGTAAAAGCAATTGCAAATTATTTCTTTAGAATTTTCTTAGGAAGCAAGGAAAGCACCTGTTCACCCAGTTTGACCTCAACTAGCAAAATTAGTTATTCAGGTGGAAAGGGGATGCCTATAATGCTAAGAGAAATTAGGTATCTTCCCCAAAGATGTACGCCTACCATTGCAGCAGTAGACCAAACTTATAATTTGCATCAAGGCTTTGAGGATCTTATCATATTCGCCTCTTGTTAACATAAAAATTACTGTGCTGAGTAACATCTGTTTTTTATTGATTCAATCAATACTTTGGGAATTTAGCAGCAAGTTAATGGCAAGCAGTTACAAAATCTCCTATTTTTTACGTTTAAAGTAAGTTGTCTTAAACAATCTATAGCAACCTAAAATCTCACAAACACAGGTGAATGACTGAAGCACTTCTGCTGGAATACCTATGGCAAGTTTATTAGTATTTTCTAACAAACTCTTCTAGTGCAAAGTGCACATAATTATTTGGAACCTCCATTACCATATTTGGCCTCTCGTTTTCCCCTATAAATAACTGCGCCTAAACATAAGAATTTGAAGTAAAAGTGAGCAAGTGTGCCCAGAGTCTTGAATTGAGGATATCTGCCCTCCTATAAAACATTTGCATACATCTTGAGTTGATTTCAGCTACAGCCCACTGCCAAGCCCACTGGTGGCTGTCCTTTAATGCCACATGCAGCTTACGCTGCTTTGGCAATAACTAGCTTCAATTTTAAGCTGGTGCAAACACATGGCAGGGCTCTGCAGTGCTAAAAGGCTACAAGCTCGGCACAGGGCTGTCCTCTTCCCCTCCTACCCCTCATCAAAGTGCTAACAAGAGCAGTTTGTTTTTGTGCTGTCCAGCACTGGAGGGAACCTTAGAGTTTCTTTTGGGATCTAGACAGGATCGTGGATTTAGCAGTGTACTTGGTTGCTGTTCCTTGGCTTGGAGTTACAGGGGTTTTCTCCAGTTCTTCCTTGAGTTCAGCTGGAAGGAGTTTGCTAGAGGTGAAACTTGAACAGCACATGTCAAAGTTGTCCTTACTGGTCGCAGGAAATTGCTTTTCATACGCAGTAGACTGCAAATAAAAGGTCTTGATTAATTTTCAGACATAAAGCAATGCACATCAATTCAAAGATGCAAGGAACTACAAAGTTGTCCAGGATTTGCAAGCTGGAGCACTCTCTAGATACAGGATACAAACTAGTCATACTGTAAAATTATTATTAAATGCCAGAAGATCCTTTTGAACCTTTAAGAAAATGAAATTGTTTACTGTTTGGTGTGGAGCAAACTCTACAGGCTCAATTTTGAAACCTCTGCAATCCAAAACGTAAGTACATGTCTGGTAACATTTGCGTAGGGAAGTCCACTTAGACATAATTGTACTCACTTCATCTTTACAGATTTCTACACAAGCTCAGACATTTGTATGGATACCCTGACAAGCATAACATAATTATTCTTTCTAACCTAGGTACAAAGTGCTGCATATGGCCCATACTCACATCCTCACAATTTTCCCACATTAATTCCGGAGACTGGGTTCTAATCCCAGTCACACCATTTGGGCAGGTCTGGAGACCTCTCCAAGCCTCTCTATTCCTTTCCCTTAAGTGGAGGCAAATAATATTTGCACATTTGCCACAAGAGGTTACCATGAGAATGAAGAGAAGGGTGGCCATGAAAATACTGTGTGAGCTTTACAGTAGAAATCAAGCAGATGGGGTTTTAATAGGCAATTGCATTTTCTCAGGTCGCCTCATTCCACAGTAAAGGAAGTGGTCTTCAATCCTGCTGTCATGAGGGAGGCAGGGTCCATTTTGACTTAGGCCCATTTTTAAAGTGATCACTTTTAATTAAGTGAAGCTGGAACACAGAGTTCTAAAAGAGTAGAGATTGTCTCAGGAGACCCAGCAAGCAGCATAGGGGCCAAGCCATTGGGGGTAGAGATACAGAAGCTCTGATTTACACAGAATGATCGAGGAAAGGGCTCACAAGTTTAATACTCTTCTTACCTCAAAGTCACAGCACACTTGGGTTAAAAATCAGGTGAACAATTTTCAAAGAGTGTGAAAAGATGGCATGTAACACAAAATAAATGCATCTAGTGCTTCTTTGATCATTCAGGTTCTTGTGATGTAATGACCATGTTTTATATCCAGTAGTAGCACTTTATACATGTTTGCCTAGTGAATCCAGGACTTCTCAGGGCTGCAGTAAAACTCTGGGTCCTGTAAGGCTTTCAACACCTATACTTCAGGAAACAAAATCTACCTGATCTTTGTTTACCAAAGACAGCCCTTAAAGGGTACCTCTTCAGAACATCACTCATGTCTGATTTTATAATCAGTATATGCTAATTCTTAAGCAGGTAATACTTAAAAATCATCTTGTGCCTTAAAATTTTAATTTGTATAAAATTTGAAATGTAAAAAGGTCATTTTTGCTAGTTCCCCACCCCCCCGCCCCAGGAAAACTTCTGGGTTGCTTCTGTGTATTCTTTTAAGCACTAGAAAATATTTAAAATTATTCAGTATTCCTTCACATAGGTTGTATTCTTAATGAAAACTCCTTATGTTCAGTGATAAGGTGAGGATACAATACTGCTGATGTTCAAGCATCTGGCTAAGAACAAGTTGCTTTGTTTAGTACAGTGCTGGTCTCTAAGATATACACCTTATCTTGAAAATTTCAATTCATGAAGTTTAATTACCTTTACATACAAATCCTATTAAAAGGTGAATCTGAGTATAACCTTCTCTTTTGATATTTTTACTTGGATTTTGAGTTATCATCCAAATTGTTGAGGAAGTAGTTTTCTACATGTCCACTACAAGTAATATTCCACAGAGCAGGAATAAAGATTCATTTTCCTTTTAGTGTGCTTATATTCCTATCTGGCTTAACAGTTCCATTCTTCTTCACTCTCCATTTGCTCATGTAGTCGAGTCATTACGGTAGTCTCAGGAGTTGCGGTCACCAGGAAGAAATACTCAGAAACAGTCTCTGTGAACAGAATTATTGATGTAGATGTTTTTTTTCCCAAAAACTCTATAGGTGCTGGTAATTTCTTCTTAAATACAACATCTTAAGATCATTATTAAAGTCTTCTGGCAAATTGGAAGGAAAAATCAAACTAACCAAAAATGTTTAGTTGCTTTGGTGTAGAAATACGATACTTCTGTTTCATATTGTAGTAAGATAAGAAAATGGTTTTCCTCAGTCATATTTACTTGTAATTTTAGATAGTATATCCCCATGATTTAATATTCACAATGTTCAAAATCTCCTCCTTGTCCCCCTAGTTAACTGAGCTCTACTCTCAAAGACAACCAATATTGTCAATTTATAGTGTATGCTTCCAGAGAAATTTTATCCATTAGGTGGAACCAAATGGAAGTGGTTGTCATTCCACTGTCATTTCCATTGGCTGCATGTCAAAAACAGTCGAATAATGGCAATTTCCTATGGTTCAATCTAATTCATTGATACAGTTTGGCTGTGTCCCCACCCAAATCTTATCTTGAATTGTAGCTGCCATAATCCCTACATGTTGTGGGAAGGGCTCAGTGGGAGGTAACTGAATCATGGGGACAGGTTTTTCCGGTGCTGTTTGTGTGACAGTGAATAAGTCTCACGAGAGCTGATGGTTTTATAAAGGGCAGTTTCCCTGCACACGTTCTTTTGTCTGCAGCCACGTAAGGCGTGTTTTTGCTCCTCCTTTGCCTTCCACCAGGATTGTAAGGCCTCCTCAGCCATGGGGAACTGTGAGTCCGTTAAACCTCTTTTTCTTTACAAATTGCCCAGTCTTGGGTATGTTTTTGTTAGCAGCATGAAAACAGACAAATAAATTCATCTATTGACATGCTTTCTTCCCCCACTTTTACACAAACAGTAGCCAACTATAAACACTCTTTTACATCTGGACTTCTTTCAACTAATGATTATCTTGAAGATCATTCCAAGTCAATTCATAGAAAGAAAAAGTCCTCATTCTTTTTTCTGGCTATGCAATATTCTTTTGTTTAGAAGTACCATAATTTATTTAACCAGTCCCTTCACAATAAACACTCAGGTTTGTTTCCAATCTTTTGCTAGCAAATTCTGCACATGTCGTTTTGCACATGCGTAAGTTTTCTACAGGATATATATTTTAGAATTGAAATTCCTGGGTTAAATGAGATATGGATTTGTAATTTTGAAAGATATCATCTCCAAGATCAAGGTGCTGGCATATAGAAAAAAAGAAAAGAAAAGAAAAGAAAAGAAATCATCATGTCGCCTTCCACTGCAGTTGTACCAATGTATAATCTTACCAGTAGCATACAAGAGTACCTGTTTTCTTATCTCTTTGTCAATTTGGTTTTCTTAATACATGTTAAAGCTAATATAGTCATCCACATTTTAATTGAGCTCCAAAATCAGCCTAATGCTGACTGCACCAAAACAAATCACAGTATTTGCTCCTTCACTCTATGGTAACATCAATTCAAATCTACTTACCTTTATGCAAATATTTATGCTTCTGTGTATATGGGTTTGCCTTGTAAAATACTGTATGTGTATGTGTACCATACCATTTCTCTTTGCTAAATTCCAGTTGTATAAAGTTTAGGATGCCATTGTTTAGGAAGTAGAATTCTAATAGTTTTTCTAAAGGAGTCTGAGACTCCCCTCAAATATCCCTCATTGAAACCATTCTCTGATGCTAACAGAACACAGATGCAGAATGGCCACCATGGTGCCCTACAGGCCAGGCCATAGTTTTCTTCACAAAGAGCCAAGCCTCTTAGTTCCTGGAGTGGCCAAGGCAAATTCCAGCTTTCAAGCTTTGTCTAGAAACATGAAAAAATCTTAATTTTTCAGAGATTTATTTTGTTAGATTATATATTATCTAAGTTTTGTGTTTCTCCTTTTCTTCTCTCATAGCTGGTGGGATTCCTCAGGGATCTATGCTGTCACTGAGGCAATTTTATAGTTTGTAAGTAATAGAACAGAGAAATGAAAAATGAAATTGCCACAGCTATAAGATCTTCCAGGTCAGGAAAAGCAAATAGAAGGTGATGAGCTCCCATAAGATTGTACAAAGTGGGTGAAAGATAACAGAGGAATTTCAATACTCAGTTCTAAGGGGAAAGATCCTAAATGATCATTATGAGACTGTTGGCCATATATTTACCAATCCAAGAGAAGACCTATAAAGCACTGTAGGCTGTTCTTTGAAGATACTGGTCTAAGGTACCATTGCACACTTGTCAGAAAAACCTAGCTATCATCAGAAAGCTTACAGGTTTTTCTTTGATTTCTATCATTTTAGAAATCAAAGAAAAAATTTTCTATCCTATAAAATAATGATGAATTCATACCTGAAACACTGCAACCAGCTTGAACAGATATAAAGGGACCAGAGAATGTTTACAGACAGGCTACTAATATGATTAAGGGGTGGAGGTTTCTCTTTAAGAGCGCTCTTCAATCTAAAAGATAAAGAATAAGAGGCTACATATAATCAAAATCTATAAAATAAAGAAGGGGGCATATTTCAGCACTGTGGAGGTAGACAGCATCTCTGAGTGCTGCAGTCAGTCAGGATGGTTACATCAAGGGCTGCCTCAAGCAGCATTTCAATTGTTCTTCATCTCTGACAAATTCTTACCATTTGGGACAGTTGAAGAATAGTCAGTTCTACTGGAGGCAGAATGATGGAAAAGATGACCTTACAAGCTTTCCTCCGGTTTCACCTTTTTGTAATTCAGTACCCTTGGCCTAATTTCTCTAGCTCATATTATTAATCTTGAAAAGGGGGCTCCATGTGTGCAGGGGGAGATATGTAACAAGAAAATTGGACTAAATATGCATATTTCATTATTCACTGGCATAGCTTTAACCTGATGAACTTATCTGGTGATAATGGATGCAAAACCTGTAAGCTCTAGGCATATCCCTGCAAGTTAATACCAGTGCATGATTACTAGAAACTGTTAGCATTTCTCTGAATTTTGAGTAAAATACATGCTATTTAAGTAAAGTGGCTTATCACCATAGCAACAATTTCTAGAGTCACACATTCAAATT